CTGTTTGACTTCTGCTTTCACTCTTGTCTCCTTGCATACATTTAGAAAAAATCTCTTACTGAGTCAACTTTATAAGAATACAAGTCATTCCCCAATTGAGAAATGGTCAAAGGATATGAACAGGCAGTTTTCAGATAAAGAAATTAAAGCCATCTATGGCCATATGAAAAAATGCTCTGAATCACATTTATTAGAGAAATGCAAATTAAAACAACTTTAAATTATCACCTCACACCAATCAGATTGGCTAATATGACAAAAAAAGGAAAATGATAAATGTTGGAGAAGATGTGGGGAAATCAGAACACTAATGCATTGTTGGTGGAGTTGTGAACTGATCTAGCCATTCTGGAGAGCAATTTGGAACTATGCCCAAAGGGCATAACTGTACACACCCTTTGATCCAGCAGTACCACTACTAGGTCAATATCCCAAAGAGATCATAAAAAAGGAAAGAGAACCCACACGCACAAAAATATTTCTAGCAGCTCTTTTAGTAGTAACCAAGAATTGGATTGAGGGAATACCCATCAATTGGGGAATGGATGAACAAGTTGTGGCATATGAATGGAATAGAATACTGTTGTGCTATATAAGAAAAGATGAGCAGACGGATTTCAGAAAAACTTGGAAAGACTTACATGAACTGATGCTGAGTGAAGTGAGCAGAACCAGGAGAACATTGTACACAGTAACAGTAGCATTGTATGATAACCAACTTTGATGGACTTAGCTCTTCTTCTTCCTCCTTCTCTACCTTCTCCACCTTCTTCTTTTTCTTCTTCTTCTTCTTTTCTCTCTCTCTCTCTCTCTCTCTCTCTCTCTGTCTTTATCTCCTTCTCTCCCTCTGTCTCTTTTTGTCTCTCTGCTCTGTGTCTCATTCTGCACTGAGTCCTTCAGCTCTCTATCAGCAGGCGGGTACCATGTTTCATAATTAATCCTCTAAAATCATGGTTATTCATGAAATACCTTACATTTTCTTCTCTACCCCCCCAAACTTTGGCTTTGTTTTAATATTTCTTGTTATCTTATGGAGTCATTAACTTCAGAAATAACTAGGTGGTACAATGGATAGTGCTAGATCTAGAATCAGGTAGACCAGAGTTCAAATTCACAATTGGAAAATTACTAGCAATGTAACCCTGGGCAAGTCACTTAACTTCTATTTGCCTCAGTTTCCTCATTTGTAAAATGAGGATAATAGTAGCACCTAACAGGATTATTGTGAGGGTAAAATGATATAATATTTGTTCTTTTTTATCACTGTCTTTAACGCTTCTAGGAATTATTTTTGGGCTTGTATCTAATCTGCATTTTTCTTTGAGGCATTGCTTGTAGATGTTTTCACATTGTTGTCTTCTTCTGAGTTCGTTGTGTCTTGAGCTTCCTGTCACAATAGTGGCTTTTTTGGGGGGTGGGGGTCAGGTTCTTTTTTTTTATTGTTAACTCATTTTTCCAACCTAATCCTCAGCTTTGAACTTTATGTTAGAGTAAGTCTCTGCTCACCTCTGCTGGGGACAGGGGGATTGTCTCAAGCTTCAGGATATTTCATCCTGTTGTTTTTGCAACTAGTTTGGGGGTCTTTAAGTTTTCAGTGTTTCCAAGGTGGTATGATCTGGGAAAAGATGTGGTCATTGCTCTCTTGGTCTGCAGTCTGATCCTAAACTAAGAAGAGCTCCTGCCCACTTGTCATAGTAAGCACAGTGCTCATCTCTCTACTTTAGAACTGCTGCCAGGAACTAGGGCCCTTGCTCTCTCTCTCTTTGTGCTCTGGAACTGGGTAACGGGCAAGTGAGATGCCAAGTGGTACCTGGTCCTGCACCTAATGCCCACACAGAGGTCCCCATAATTTCTTTCTGACCAGTTGATCGGTCCTCTTATTGTCTGGGTGGTGAGAGCTCCTGAAGCTGCTGCTGCCGCTGCCTTGCCATAGCCTCCCACGCCAACAGTTGATGTTTCTACTGCTCTGTGCTCCCAGGCCAGCCCCAACTCCAGTGTCACAGATCTCCTTCTGATCTTCTGAGTTGTCTTGGGCCAGAAAAATGAACGAGATAATATTCATAAAGCACTTTGCAATCCCTGAAAGCATTATACAGATGTTAGCTATTATTATTTAGTCCATTCTAATTTTTAAGGAATTTGTTGCTTGCTTGGGTAAGGTTTTGTACCTTTTCTGCAAGCTGTTAATTCCTTGTCCAATTCTTTCTTCCTAGCTTTAATTTCTTTTCCAATTTTTTCCTATAGTATTCTCATGTTATTTATTAAAAAAATATAAAAGCTTTCAAAAAATTTTTGTTTTATCTCTCGAAGCAATTCTAGTTGAACTTGTGGCCAGGCTATGTTTTTCTTTGAGGATTTGCTTATAGATGTTTTGGAGTTATTCTTTTCTTCTGGGTTTGTGTCTTGAGTGTCACTGTCACCACAATAGCTTTTCATGGTGGAATTTTTTTCCCCCTCTTTTCTGGTCTACTTGCTAGCTTTAGATTTCATGTTAAGGATGGACTGTATGCACTTCAGGGCTAGTCCTGTCGCTGCTTTCTTAGGGTAGAGTGTTAAATTATTCCAGGGTATCAGGAACAGCTCAGGCCATGAACCTGCAAGCTTTCAATGCTTCCAAAGTGATTTAATCCAGAGCAAAGTCTGATCACTGTCCCACTGGCCTGAGATCTGCAAGTTCCTGACTTGGGTTTGTGTTTGAGGAATGCACCTGTGGGATTGCCCCTGGTTGGAGTTCAAGTAGACTGCTGCTGGTCAGATGCTGGTTCAAGAGTGACAGGATGACAGGCTTCCCTTTTGTCTGGGATTCTATTTACCTTCTATTTACCTCAGTTTCCTCATTTGTAAAATGAGGATAATAGTTTATTCCATTGCAGGCTTCATACTGGATTGTAGGCCAGAGCTGTTACTGGGATCAAAACCGCACAGCTACTTCTTTCTTTTGAACCTGTTCCTTATTTGGTACACTGCCCAGGGTCCTCAACCTGCTCCTCACCCTGGACCACCACCCTTAGTTGTAGGACCCCTCCTCAACCAGCCCTGGATCTATAACCTAGACCTGGGTAGTGAGCAACAGAGCTGCCATTTGGCATCTATTTCTGCATCCTGTTCCAGCTTGGGACACTCTTTATTGATTTTAGAAGTGGAAAAGGGTAGAACATACAAGTATTAAGCACCTACTATGTGCTGGGTACTGTAATAAGCGATTTACAGATATTATCTCACGTGGTCCTCACAAAAATCCTGTGAGGTAGTTGCTATTATGATCATCTTTTTGACATGAAGTCTGTAATCTTTCCCTGGGCTGGAATGCTCCATGCTGCTATTCTTGACTAGATCCTGTCCCCAATGTTTGCAGATCCCTCATTCTCCTTATGCCAACCTGGGTGGGAAAAATGACTCAACGTAATTTTTGGGGGGATTTCCCAATCAGAATGTGGTCAGGTGGGCAGAGGAGCTTTGTTGTGCTTCTGATACTCTGCCATCTTGACTTTGCCCTAATCCCAGGTTTTATTGCTTCCCAAATTCTGCACACCTTGACACTCTTAATTCCTCCTAAGACTTCATTGACTTTCTTGGCTGCCATATGACACTAGTGACTCACACTGAGCTTGAATTCCACTAAACCTTCCAGATCTTTTTCAAATGAATCACATTATAAACAATATTCCTTTTTGAATTATATAGCTTTAGTTCTTTTGAGTTTGAGGTCTACACGTACTGTCATGGTTTGTCATGGAGATGCCTGTTCTCCAGCAGTAGGACATTAAACTCAGTCATGAAATATTTAATGCTGAATCTACAACACATATCGTCACTACCCAGATCTAATCGTGGATGTATTCTGTGTCTTAGTTGCCAAGACATTATACGATCCAGCCTTGAACCAAATAGATCTTCAGGAAACACATGAATTCCATACCAACTTTCTTTTTAATACTTTTTTTTTTCACTTAACAAGAATTTGCTTTCTCTTTTTTTTTCTGCCTGACTACATCAGCTTCTTACTGACTACCCTCTCTATAGAAATCCCACACAACAATAACTAAGACAGGAGGGGAAAACTTGGACCACCACAACTAAGAAGCTAAACTTATTGCAATCTTTCTTGTCAACTACTTCCCCACCTTAGGGCAGTCTGATCCAGGTACCCTATCACTGAAGATGATGCAAAGCTGCCTAATATAATTTAATATTACTCAAGCTAATAATACCTATCCCTTAGTGGCAAAGTCTACTCTCAGCATGCTTTCCACACAATTGTTTCGAGGGTCTTATGTAGTAGATTTACCTCAGAGCTTCACCTTCACTTCACGTGTAGATAAAGCCCATTTGTTTGATTCTGCTTTGGGCTGCAGTTCTTAAGTTCCAGTGAAAATATGAAGCCAAACCCTTGCTGCTGAAGTCTATAATTAGCTCCTTATGTGACATGACCCAGTTGATTTTTCTGACGCATTTGCTCTGTTATTTGCCCTTTCTGAGACCTCTAATGTCTCCTTCCCAGCTGGTGGTACCCTCAGCCCTTCCTGTGGAGGTAGCCTTCACTTCTTATCCTGTCTTATGGTTGCATGTATGTTTCAGCACTCACAGTTTGATTTTTAAAAATATATGTCACTCTACATGGCAGATGAATATCTAATGCAAGAAATTTCTCCCCCCCTCCCCTTTTAAGAATGGTTAGGAAATGTTTCTTCAGAAGCTCTGTAATTGGTCAGTCAGCACTTTTGATGTCCTCTTCGATGATGTCACCAGCTATTCCCAGGGTAGGAAAGGCAGGGTCTCCCCCTGGAATCATGACAACACTTGTTTCAAGTTGGAGAAGAACCTTCGTTTTTTTTTTTCCTGCACTCTTGGGAAAGTCAATACACAATGTTCATTTCCTCACCACGGGATGTGCTGTGCCGGGCTGCACAGCTAGCAGGTCATTTTCCCGTATGTCACATCCTTCGGGACTAAGGCAGCATGGGGCTAGAGGCAGGAAATGGCATATTCCTGGAATGAGGCAACGTTTTCCCAGGATAGCTATTGGTCCTTCCTAACTATAAAATATACTCATCCAGAAACAGCCCAAGATTTTTCCTTTTTGGAGGCAGTGAAGAAAGGGTAAGTTAGAAACCTGATGTGATATTTTTAGGGGAAAAAATAGCCTTTGGGGTTCTGTTAATATTGAGATTATGTCACTGAACATTGTGTATGTGAGTTTTTCTCTCTTTTGATGGTCTTATTGAGGCATTTCCCTGGGAATAGACAACTAACTTGTGGTACAATGGATAGGGAATATGGCTACTAATGAGAACCGCAGTCCCAACTCTCTTAATTATTAGCTGGGTGCCTTTGGCTGGGTCACTTAACTGCTCTATACTTGTTTCCTTATCTTCCAAGTGGAGAAAAAATTTACTTATACTATCTGCCTTACAGGGTTATTGTGAGAATTAAGAAGATTAAAAGAAGAAGCTATAAGCAAAAAGGCTTGGTAAGTTGAAGGTAGGGGGCTATTTTAAAAGCTTTAATTATGTTATAATTAAAATGTCCTGCCTCTTCTGCTTATTCTTCACCTTTAAGAAGTTCTTCTTAAGGCACTTAATAAATGCTTATTGACTGTTGACTGACTAAGAAATCAGGCCTATATATACTGAGGTGAGAATAATTGATTACAATAGGAAGTAAGCTTTCCTTGCTAAAAGCATTTGCAATTTGCTCTGCCTTGTCCATGCTAATGACTATTTTACTTTGTGTTATTTTTTGTTTTATTTTGTATTATTTTGTTTTTATCTTGTATTTTGTATTTCTGTTATTGCCATCCTATTAATTTTCATAACTCTCCATGAAGCTTTAGTGTTTAGTTAAAAAAAAAAAGAGAGATGATCTCTCATCACAGAGTCGAAATGACTAGGAAAGAGATACTGTTGAGGGAGAACCCAGGAGTCTTGACTATTTATTTTAAGAGCAAGTGAAACAAAAAAAAATGCTCTATTTTTAGGTTGAATTCTGAGATAAAAAGTATCCTTGGGGAATGCCCCATGAAAACCTTTTAGTTACCCCAAAATGGGTCAAATACTCTGGGAGAGTCTAAAGGAGATCAAAAAGGAGAGGAGAAAGTCACTACTTTTTGTTCCTCCTACACTTTCTTTCATTTCTAGTCAATCTCTTTAAGCTTATAATGCAATTTATTTTCATTTTTCCTGTAGGGTGAACGGGAGATAGTATTATTCCTATTTACTTGTGAAGAACATAAAATCCTGACTCCCTTTAAGTGACTTGCCCAAGGTTAAAGGATTTGAGTGGTTAGTGAATGAGCTTAGAATAGAAACCATGTTTGAAAGAAACTCTGATGAGGATGAAGATCATGGTCATCTACAGGCAGAGTAGTAGAGTGCGTAGAGAGGCAATAAAACGGGTTTCAAGACCTACCTTTGATTGTGTTGTTTCTTTTTTTTTCTTTCTTTCTTCCTTTCTTCCTTCCTTTCTTTCTTTCTTTTTTTTTTTTGGTGAGGCAATTGGGGTTAAGTGACTTGCCCAGGGTCACACAGCTATTAAGTTTCAGGTGTCTTAGACTGGATTTTGAACTCAGGTCCTCCTGACTCCAAGGCCAGAGCTCTATCTACGGCGCCACTTAGTTGCCCCTTGTTTTTTTTAAATTAAATTAAATTTAATTTAATTTAATTTTTTTTCCTACCTCTCATTGTGACAGCCACATATGTTTAAATTCTATAACTTTTTAGTGTTCCCCAGGCAGCTTTCTAAGACAATAAATTATAGGCTACTTGTTGATCTGCCTTGGTTGTGGGTGTTTTCTCACCTTAAAGTTTCTGAAGTGCTTTTTTTACACATATTTTCCTCTTTTGAACCTCATATCCATCCTGTGATAATATATTATTATTGCCATTTTACAAATGAGAAAACTCAAGCTCGTAGCGATTAAGAGGGGTCATATAGGAAGTACTGGAGTTGGGACTGGAACTCAGGTCTTCCCGATGCTAAGGGACCATTTTGCTGATAGTGATCAGGGACACAATTCCTATCATTGCATAACGCCTTTGCATTGACCCTTTATCTGTTTCTTAATAGCGTCATGGAAAGGATCATTGTCCCCCAGCCCCAAGCTGTGGATTCTCTTCGCCGTTTCCAGGTGTTGTTGCTGGATAGAAGGAGCAGGCTTCATGGCCAGATCCGGAGCCTCCGGGACATCATCCGGAAGATTGAAAAGCTTCGCAAACGGTCTCTACTGGCTAACATCGCAGGAAGTTCCCTGAGTGCAGCTGGAGCCATCACAGCCATTGTGGGGCTGTCCTTGAGTCCCATCACTCTAGGGACCTCTCTTCTGGCGTCAGCAGTAGGGCTGGGTGTGGCCACTGCAGGAGGGGCAGTTACCATCAGTTCGGACTTGTCCCTGGTGTTTTGCAACTTCCGAGAGCTGAGAAGAGTGCAGGACATTGCAACAATTTGCCAGGACCAGATGAGGGAAATACTAGGGTGCTTGGATTTCTTTTGCCGGGGGCAAGGCTGTCTGGACGTTCAGCTTCTCCAGTCTGGGAAGAAGGCTTCCATTGCTCTATATAATTCTGTTTATTTTATCGTGTTTTTCGGCTCACGTGGCTTCCTCATACCCAGGCACACAGAGGGGGCCACGAAGGTTAGCCAGGCCGTATTGAAGGCTAAAATTCAGAAGCTGGCCGAGAGCCTGGAGTCCTGCACCACTGCCCTGGATGAACTCAGTCAGCAGCTGGAATCTAGAGTGCAGCTCTATGCAAAAAACAAACATAGAAGCCCCTGTTTGGACTCAAAAGATTCTCTGGACAAATATAGAGCCATGATTTTTTGAGAGCAAAGATTTCCCCCAGAGATTAAGACCTTGGAGCTGAATTGGGATGGGTAGTTGTACACAAAGAATGGAAAGAAAAAACCAACCCAACTTCTTGTAAAAGGGATGCATGCTTTGGGTATGGATTGGATTTCTGAGATCCTGTGTAACACTGAGATTTTATGAATATGTGACTTGAAATGGGCGGGTCCTCATAGCCCTTATTTTTTCACCTCTGTGATATCCTGGGACTGAAAGGACCGGGGTTTAGTGCTGGAAACTTTTCCAATTTGTTACAGTAGCAACCGTGGATGGCAATACTAATGTGTTCTGTGCTAGCAAAATGTTTTCATGTCAACATCAAAAGTTTCCCAGGCAGGAATGCCAACCAAAAACTATTTAAGTGTTCTTCTCTAAGTACCTAGTGGTTGAAATCGTACCATGCAGAATTACCTGGATTTTCAAGATGGCTCCAGTTCTGCCTTGGGGGTGCAGATTGAGGCCAAAGAGGGTCTAGGAGATTTCTTCAGAGTCAGGTCAATTCAAAGGATTCACTTCAAGCCCAAGGTAATTGAAAGGCCCCAAAGATGTATTAGGAAGCAGCGCATATCTAATACCTCCCCTTCTTCTGAAGGAGCCCCAGAGGATGCAGAACAAAAGCCAGTTACAGAGGCCAAAGAGGACTTCTACCTCCTCTTTATGACCATTCTCCCCACACCCATAATAAACCAACAAAAATCTCTGGTTCAGAATTCAAGGAAGGGACCTGGAACTAACCTGACCCTTTGTTCTCCCTAGCTGTCTCTGTTTAAGATTCACCTTGGGTTTGGAGAGGACCACTCGAAGCAGCTGTAGGCTGAATTTACCCATCCTGACCTAATGATTTCAAGGGTCTCTGAGGCTATTACTCCAATATTCAGTTGTGCAGTCCCAATGGGGTCCACTTCCTGCTACCTGTCTATTCCGAGTGGCAAGCTGAAAGACAGTCAGCATCCCATGGGATAATGGAAAAGATGAGATAACTGGGAAAGTGGTGGGGTCAGTATAAGGGAATGGATAATTGATATAAAATTCCCCACTTTATCAAATAAAGGATATGACACATTCTGCCCTTTAGAGGGCAGTATTGACTATATGTTGTAGAAACTGGTACACCAAAGAATGTAACTTTATTGAGAAGCTAGCTTTTCTACCATTTATTTCAACAGCACATAAGGTATTTTATTTATTTATTTAAGTTTTATTATTTTATTGCTTTTTGTTATATAACCGAATTTTTTTTTAATTTTAGGCAATTGGGGTTAAGTGACTTGCCCAGGGTCACACAGCTAGTAAGTATGAAGTGTTTGGTGTGAGGCCGCATTTGAACTCAGGTCCTCCTGACTTCAGGGCCGGTGCTGTATCCCCTGCGCCACCTAGTTACCCCTATATAACTGAATTTTATAGAATGATGTATTTTAATAATCACCGGAATAACAAATTTGGGAAATGTTGGTTGCCGTCACTAGCTTCATTTCCATGGGGTAAAGTACAGCTAAGTGGTTTCTGTAAAGTGGATAGGAGATAGGTAAATGGTTGCTGGAGGTGCCATCACTCCCTTTAAGAAGTTCCTTTTTGATCTGTGGGGAGAGGTTCCTTTTTCAACTTTCCTGTTAACTAGGTAAGGTAAATTAAAGAGGGACCAAATAAAGGGATGGTTTAAAAAAAAGAACCTTTAGGAAGAAGAGTAAGGTAATATATTTCTGATTATTTAAATAATTAAAATATATGTTTACCTCTAAGGTACAAGTGACAACAGATAAGACTTGACCTGGAAAGAGAATGTGTTCAGTGTAGAAAAGAATAACTTGAGAGGAGGAGTTGTAAGAAACAAGCATCTACAGTCAGAAAGCCTAGTGTCCTGTGAAGTTGTGTCTTATGGTTGATGGACAGTGAGGCTGGTGAGGTTGTAGTGATGTACCTTGGTTTCATTTGTTACAGGTACGGGAGATCCAGGGTTTTTTGTTTTTGTTTTTTTTTTTTGGTAGTTAATTACCCTTAAGAAAACACTTACAAGTCTCTTGAATCGCCCTTCCAATAATTGTAACCAAGTACGAAAAGTAGGTTCCAAAATATTGGGTGCCTCAAAAAAAATCACCTACCAATGATGGCAGTGAGCCTGAGGAAGTGAAATTTGAAAGCTTTTCAATATTTCCAATTTTTCTGAGAACTTTTGCTGATATCTTGTTGCCTTTTTTTTCTCTTGCATCCTAGGCCAGTGAGAGGGCCTGTATTTCCTTAGTTTATTTACCCAGGGGCTGGCCAAATCTGGTCCTAATTTCATTCTTACCAGTACTTAATACTAAATTGGATTCTATCAGTGACTTAACTCTATAGTGAGTACCATTGGAAGCATTATCACTAAGTACTTTAAATGCATCAGAATTGTAACTTTGAGTTACATCTTATATGGATCAATTTATAAAGGAACAATGTCTATTCTGCAATAATGCTATGTACACAGTAGGGATTCTGTAAATATTATTGAATGAATAAGTAGCTTAATAGCTTAGGCAAGAAGAATATCTGGCTTATGTGCCAGTGGGGACTTGGTAGGAAAAGAAGATCACTAGTTTTCCCTATGTAATTATTATTTTGAAATTTGGAATCTCTTTGGGGCATTAGGTAATTTATCCTTAGTCTAATGTAGCTAAATATTAATTCTTAAGGGACAATAATATTTTTGTGGGAATTTACAGAATGTTGTTTTGATAAATCTTCATTTTTTCAGAAATAAGGTATAGAATGAAATGTTGTGGAGGGATGAATGGAAAGAAATATTTAGATAAAAGGTGCACATCAGGAAAACAATATGTCTATTAAAAATAAACTTGTTAAAAACAAACATGCTGAATATCTAAGTGACTCTCTGGTTATTTTTCTAGTATTCTATACTTAAAGCATCTGAATTTGTTATCTTTCATAATGGTGAGATCCAAGCTTTGATTCTGTATTGTAGTGTTTCAATAAAACTGTATCTTGTTCTATTTTCCAGAAATGCAAACTGTACTGTGTGTGACTCAAACTACCAGACTGGAGTACATTAGAACAGGGATAGTATATATAATAGATGTCCACTTATAGGGGAGTCAGACTGTAGGAACTTCACCCCTTTAGAATACTGTGGAGAACTGGGGAGTGTGGGAAAAAGGCCTCTGAGGAAATAAAATTGATATCTGAAAGTTCATTAAAGCTGAGAATTTGGGGATATTGTCCAGGCTAAACTCAAATCAAATTTATTATATTTTAAATAAACATTTGGCATTCCAGCCCAAAGTACAAGGAAATAGCAAATTTAAAAGTGATAACAGCTAAAGGCAAGAAAAGACAAGTGTCACTCCTCACTGACAGCAATGATCAGGCTGACAGTCTGACCTCAAAGGAACAGACGAAAACTGTAAAACTAGAGATAAAAATTAAAAGCACCGCAATTTGAATCCAGTTAGTAAAAGGGTAAATAGCTCTATACTTCAAAAGCCTTTGAGGTTATTAATAATTGGTGTTTATAATAATGACTTTATGTTATAAAAAAGGTTAAATTATGTAAAGTGCACTTTCATAAGGCAGAGAAAAGTATATTTCAGAAAGGTTTTCATTAAGTGTGTTTAAAAGAAAAATAATTTTTGTGCTTAAATAGGGAAAAGCCAATTATTTGCAATTGACGAATTGATCCATAGGGTCATAGATCTGGAGCCAAGAGAGATTTCCGAAGTCATGTAGTCTAAGCCTCTTATTTTATAGATGAAGAAAGTCAGGCCCAGGGAGGTTGATGGACTTACATAAATACATAGCGGAAGTAAGCAGCAAAGGTGTGATTTGAATGTAAGTACTCTGAGTCAGCCAGTGCAGCAAGGTGGCGCTGTGGATAAAATACAGGACCTGGAGTCAAGAAAATCATCTTCCTTAGTTCAGATCTGACCTCAGACACTTACTAGCTGTATGACCCTGGGCAAGTCACTTAATCCTGGTTTGTTTCAGTTTCCTCATCTATAAAATGAGCCATAGGAGGAAATGGCAAACCACTCGGGTTTCTTTGCCAAGAAAACCCCAAATGGGATCACAAAGAGTTGGACACAACTGAAACAACTAGACGTCACTTTGAGTCCAGAGACTGTGTAGACTGTTCATTCTTTTAGAGCACTCCTCTTTTAAATAAGGTATTGCTGCATTCTTACTAACATATTCAAACACTAATTAGTTAACTGAGCTTAATGCAGTTTTTATATGGCATGGCATAGACTTTTATCATTCTGACTGTATGAATCTGGTCTAATACCATACTATATAAAGATTTGTAAGATTCTAGTTGTATCGCCTAGGACAAGTCACAACCTCTCTGAGACTCAGTTTCTTCATCTTTAAAATGGGAAAGTTGGACCAGATTATCTCTATAGTCTTTACCTGGTTCAGAAATCTATGATCCTGTGAGAGTCTGAGATATATTCCGTAAAACTTCAGTTTTTCAATTTTGAGGACTGTTTGGTAGAATCATTTAGGAAATGAAGGAGGAAATAGAGTAACTTATGTTACAGAATGAAATTAATACTGGCAGAGATATTGATGCCCAATTAGGTACAAAAAGTACTGGATAGATTGCATGTGCTGGTTTGAATGATGATTTCCTGCCCCTCCGCCAATCAATTTACTTTGTGTTTGAGAGGAAAGGGAAAAATGGAAATATAGAAAGAACAATAGGATCTGGCATTCGGCACACCCAAATGTGTCAAATATATAATCTAGGTGGGGAACCTTAATAAAAGGATTTGTTCTGTGAAGTTTGGATTCAGTCAAAGGGCTGAACTTGAGGATCTAGAGGGGCCTCGAGGCCACAGGTTCCCCATCTCTGATCTAGGCTAAGGGACATAATGTAAGGGAAAATGCTTGGAAAAGACAAGGCACTAAAGAAATGATGAGCATTACACTTTCTTCTCTCTGGCATTAGCCAATGGGACATTCATCATTAATAAATTTTTCAGCTAACCAATACTCTCAGGGGTCTATTGAGTTTTAGAAGATTGCTTGCTTTTGATTCATAGACTCACAAAATATTACATCTTAACTCTATGAATTTAGAAGTTGTCAAAACCAAGCAGCCTCATTTGATAGATGAGGAAACTGGACCAGAGAGGTCAAATTACTTGTATAAACTCACACAGCTGAGTTAGGATTAGAATCTGACATTCTGATTTCTAATTCAGTATTCTTTCCTAATCGATGTTAAGCAACCTTTACTTTTAAAGATGTGAGAGGCAGCTTGGCATAAGGGATTAGAGAGCCAGCCTCAGGGCCTGGAAGACCAATGTTTAAGTCCTCCCTCTAACAAAAATTGTATGACCCTGGGTAAGTCACTTAACTATTCAATGTTTTAGGCAACTCTGTAAGAGGCGAGGTTTGGGAGAAAGTGTGGACCTCCGTTGGTAGAGGAAGTTTCCTTTCCTGAGAGTCCCAAATTTCAATGAAATCACAGGTAAAATCTCTATCCTATTTTGTAAGCTATTTCATATCAACCCTTTGAAGGTCTATGGCAGAATTCCACTAGCCCTTTTTCATTTATTAACTCACCTTGAATCTTGGCTAGAGCACAGCTCTTCCTGGGGATTTGTCCTCAAGCTTTGGACGGAGACGGGTTCAGAACCTGCCAAGCTCTGCTCATCTCTCAGCAGTTAGCTGTCTTTGTGCCTCAGCTACAAATGATCTGTTCGCTCTGTTTGAGCTGTTTGACCTAATACAGGGAAAGTCTTAGTTTATTTTTTGGACCTCTCTGCTCTCAGAGCCCCAGTTTTCCTTATCTATACAAAGCAGAAGAGTGAGAGGAACAGCCAGGGAGAACAAAAGCTCCTGTATTTGCTTTCTTTAAGCAGAAAGAGGTATTTCCAGGTTCCCTGAAGAGAGACATGAAGCAACCTCTTTCACCAGGTCCTGTCTCTCTCAGACCAGAATTGGTTATTTTGAACACAAGAGGAAAATTACACCTTAGTTCTTGCTAGATTACCTCTGCTAACAGCTTTTAGTTCAATTCAACTCAAGAAATCAGTGATTATACATGTACTGCTAAGGTAGGGACACAAAGGTGAAAAACTACACAGTTTCTGCCCTCAACAAGTTTATAATCTAATTGGAGGATAAGATGTATGTGAATAAGATAGAATTCATTAAAGGCACAAGGAAAATAGAATCTAAGGGCAAAGGAAGGATTTAAGCAAAGTGCTGTAAGAAATTCAAGAAAGAAGCAATCACTTTCAAAAGGGGAAGGG